TTGTTATTATTAGTTAATGTTTTGATAGTTATGTGATGTTAATATCCTGTGTGGTTTCTTATTATTTCCTGTATGCATGTTTATAAGTATGTGTGTTCTGTCTGGACTCTTGTTCACTTGTTCTACTCTCCCGATGTTCTCTTTCTCTCTTCCTGCTCATTTATTACATTATATTGTGTTGAGTTCATTGATACTTATTATAAACGTTACACTATACATGTTAGAAGTCCAAAAAGGCAAACTGTCATTTGAATCACTAAAAATAATTTTATACAATAATCATTAGTGAACAAATTAGAATCACATACGGTGAAAGATGAAAGAATGAGGATGAATCATATCCCAGTTGCTTGCAGATAGTGTTGGCATCAGTAGAGTCAAACCCATCACTGCATATTGTCCCCCACTGTCCATTACAATAAACTTCAACATGTCCTTCATTAGAATAATCTCCATCTTGAAGACGTATCATACCAGCATATGGATTACTGTTCCATATCCTTGTGGTATCTGTAAAAATACCAATTAATACAGTTTAACAAAAATAATATCTTACAGCAGGATACAGTAGCATCATAACTGTTGCTGTTGACACAACCACTGTCAATGTAAGTAGAGTAGGAACATTGAGCAATAGATAAATAGCTGCTACTGGCACAGTTAACATCATCCCATTTTATAGAAAGATAGTCTGTACCATAACTACAGGCCAAAAAATTTACCAGTATATCACTCAAACTTATATATATATATATGTACCTAGTTAGTCCAGCTCTAGAGTAGCTTGAAGCTCCATTGTATCCCTACTGATGACAAATGACATTAGCTTCATAAAAGTTATAATAGTAGTCATCACAAATGTTGCCCCATCCATTATAATAGACTCTAATTGTTCCATAGTAATAAGAGGTTGAAGACACATTATTACGAGATAGAATAATAGTTCCAGCAGCTGCTTGAGCTAATTAAATTAAACATACAAATACTTTTACTATAATTTCAATGATATGCTCTCACAATAGTATTGTTGGCAAGTTGAAGTAGTTACAGATTGTCTTGTTGAGGTAGACACTTCACCTAGAATAAACAAATAATGCGAAACAAATAAATTTAAAATAAGTGCTAGCTAACAGAAAACAATTTCAGAAAAACTAATAAAATGTAATAGGGGGCAAACCATGAACACATTAAGCATGGTGTGCCTTAGACTTGGTTATTTACCATGTAAAATGTAAAATTTTTAGAGGCTTTGATGATAATTAATAAGCAAAGTATTATTTACAAGTGAGACTTTTTGAATATAAGGGGAACAAGACTTGTTGTAAAGCCTGGTTCAGATCATTTGCGTTGCAATCAGAAGTGCTATATAATACAATGGGTTAATGCAAGAACAGAACTTGGCTCTATTCATGTGTTTATCAATGCATTGTACAGCACTTCTGGTCACAACGCAAATATTCTGAACCAGGCTTAAGGGGCAAATGCCTCATGTACTATACAGAGTATTTAATAAAAATAGTACTGCCACAGTGCAATAATTTATATTTCTAGTATTTACCGCATGTGACAGCAACTGCATTTTTACAATTTAACACCAAAGACACTGGACAAGTATCAGTTACAGAAAAGCATACATCAGTGGGTAAATTAGGAACAGAGCGACACCATACTGTTGAATTACTAGAATTCTCATGCCTACAAAAATGGAGAATTACAACTAAGTAAATATCCCTGGCTTTTATTCAATTTTAACATACAATGAAAATTTATTATAACTGAATAATGCATCATATCCCAGTTGCTTGCAGATAGTGTTAGCATTATTTGAGTCAAACCCATCACTGCATATTGTCCCCCACTGTCCATTACAATAAACCTCAACACGTCCTTCGTTAGAATAAGCTCCATCTTGAAGACGTACCATACCATCATATGGATTACTGTTCCAGATTCTTGTTGTATCTGTAATAATACTGATAAATATAATCTAATAACAATAATATCTTACAGCAGTATACAGTAGCATCATAACTGTTACTGTTAACACAACCACTGTCAATGTAAGTAGAGTAGGAACATTGAGCAATAGATAAATAGCTGCTACTGGCACAGTTAACATCATCCCATTTCATAAAAAGATAGTCTGTGCCATAACTACAGGGTAAAAATTTTATCAGGATATCACTCACATTTTTATGTACATATACCTAGTTAGTCCAGCTCTAGAGTAGCTTGAAGCTCCAGTATATCCTAACTGATGACAAATGACATTAGCTTCACCTGAATTATAATAGTAGTCATCACAAATGTTACCCCATCCATTATAATAGACTCTAATTGTTCCATAGTAATAAGAAGATGATGCCACATTGTTACGCGAGAGAATAATTGTTCCTTTAACAGTACCATCCAAATCTAAATGAGTAATAGATATAGTGTAGATCTACATAAACATGCACAGTCTGCATTTTAATTACTACAATGTTACACCATATAATGTAATCATGCATATGCATGGTAAGCATTTTTTAAAGGAGTGGAGTCAGCAGTAGTAGTACTAACACCATAAACAGGAAATTCATACCAAATTAAGTTGCTTTGAATTCTAATGCTTCATAACATTATTTGTGAAACTGAAATTCCCCTTTGTCACATATATGCACTAAATGAACTGAAGTGTACTTTTTGGACTACAATAAGCTCAATTATACACTTAACCATATAAGTGTTGGTAAAAGAAATCACAAATTACAATAAAAAACTGAAGACCCATATGAAATGAACGTACATGTATGCACAGATTATTTGAAAACTGACATGTGCCAAACATTTAATAAAATAATCATATTAATTCCTTTAAAATCTCATCATCTACATTAAGAGGCAAAAATGAGACAGGAGATGGAATGACTATGATTTGCCCCACACAACATAGGTGAATACTTCATTTAATCATGCATGTAACACAAATTAGACAAATACATGTAGATACAATAACAGCTTACTACAAGACTGAACATCAGCAGTATACCTTACAAAAGTAAAACTCTCAGCTGTAGAAGGAAATTAGTATTTTTATCAAAGTATTATATTAACTAACAGCATTCGATTGATACAATACTAGAATTAGAGCAATTTATCACTTCACTGCTAGGACAGGAGTTGCTTTGAGTGAAACAAACATCATTTGAGGCACTGTTCATGCCAGTTGTCCATATAGGCTGACTGCTATTAGCACTGAATATCACAATAATGATAATAATAGTAATAAGAGTAAACACTGCTTGTGGCTCCCTTACTAATTGGAATTTGATCCATTAAACGTTGCAAAGGAATCATATCCCAGTTGCTTGCAGATAGTGTTGGCATCAGTAAAGTCAAAGCCATCACTGCAAATTGTCCCCCACTCTCCATTACAATGAACTTCAACACGTCCTTCATTAGAATAATCTCCATCTTGAAGACGTACCATACCAGCATATGGATTACTGTTCCATATCCTAGTTGTATCTATAACAATACATAAAAAATGTACTAATTATAATGAGTTAGCTTACAGCAGTATACGGTAGCATCATAACTGTTAGAGTTAACACAACCATAGTCAATGTAAGTAGAATAGGAACATTGAGCAATGGACAGGTATGAACTACTACCACAGTTAACGTCATCCCACTTCATAAGATAGTAATCTGTACCATAACTACATAAAAATTATTAAGGTTAATATTTGATGTAAAATATACATGTACATACCTTGTTAGTCCAGCTCTAGAGTAGCTTGAAGCTCCAGTGTATCCCAACTGATGACAAATGACATTAGCTTCAGCTGAATCAAAATAGTAATCATTACAAATATTACCCCATCCATTGTAAAACACCCTCACTACTCCATAGTAATAAGAAGTTGATGAAATGTTGTTTTGAGAGAGAATAATAGCTCCATTGCTTAAGCCTGTAAATAGAACAGTCTATTTTTTTCACTTTATACTGGTTATAAAACATAATTTCAATAAAAATAATCATGCAATATTGACAAAATGTACATGCACTAAATGCATGATTGATACACAATAAGAGAAGTCAATATTATATTAAATGAAGGCATTGTGACTGATCAAATGAGTACATTTCACTGCCAGGAAGGGCTCCTGCTTTTTGAAAACATTTGGTTATAATAAACAATACACATAACACATTGCTAGTGTTTGGCAGAGCCAGTACCAATCCTTGAATAGAGCTAGTACTTAATCTGCAAATCCTTTTGAATTACAATTTCATCTTAAAAGCCTGGTTTTCATAAAGCCCTAAAGCAGCCTTATAAAACTGTACACCAGGCAGCATGTTGCTAGCAACATTTGTGGTTACTTTGATCTTGTAAGCAATATGTTGCTACAAATAGAAGGCTGTTCTATTTATGGCAACATGTTGCTTACAAGATCAAAGTAACTACAAATGTTGCCAGCAACATGTTTCCTAGTGTATGCCTGGCTTTAGAGGATAGAGATCAGGTTCATCTCTACAACAAATGCATCTAACCACAAAATCAATACAACAGTCACCACTATTATATGTATTTTGGATAATGTAACAGTTAAATTGTGTTGGCAATCTGACCTTCAACACAAATAATGCTTTAAAGTAGCTGATCATCTACATAAGAACAAAAATCCTGCATTTATAAAGTAACTTGGTATATAATTATCATCTCTAGAAATGTAAACAAATGTAAGATGGTCTAATATTTCTTAATTCCTTGATGATTTATGTGCACTAACTAAAGATGCATTTATGATAGTTTTCCACCTTCATAATGTCTCAAACTGCTAAGCTTTACTACTTATTTTTAATACACTATAACTGTATTTTGTTGTTGGCTTTTTGATATTTTAATTCAGAACTTCAAGGTCACTAATGACCTTGGATTAGCACTATTTCTTCCCATGTTTGTCTATGTCTATACATCTACTAAAGCTATCATTATTAGTGTTGCTATTGTTGCTATTATTATTATGAAAAATGAAACTAATGAGAACAATGAAATAAGTAATAATAACAATAACACAAAGCAAAAGCATAATAAAAGAAGTTCTGTAAACAGCCAATAGAGAAAGAGTCAACTTAGGCTGCGCGAGACTAACTAGGGCTGCCCATTCACAATAGAAGGGATAACAAGAAATTGACCATACAAGCCTCATGAGGCCGTTGGCACACCTTAAGATTTATGAATAGCCACTAGACTATCACCATACACAGTCATAGGTATTTTAAGCAAAAGGAGATGTCTGGCATAATATAAGGTCCATGCAACGTGGTCCTATTACGTTATTAGGATTTGGACTTTTAGAATTAAATTTTAGGTTTTAGTACTTGCATGGGTTCCTCCATGAATACCATAGATCTATAGTGCAAGATTTTTGTGGGCTGTAAATTTCAAGAACTTGCCAGATTTTAAAGGGACAAGATAGATACTGTATAGTATTTTTGGGGATACCGTCCTCGTGTACGGATATCTGTGCACTTTCCGCGTAGGATATGGACTCCAGCAAACCAGTATCATAGATATCTATGCCAGTATCTATGGTCAAACTCACCCGTCAAAAACACACCAGCCTGTTACGGATGGCAAACTTGATGAAGAAAAATGCAGTTAATTGCTTACCTCTTAGTTTGGTGGAAATAAACATAAGGCACCATTTGCTGAAGTATTGGCAGAGCTCCAGAAGCAAAAATCAGAGCATAAAATGCTATATCACAAGATATAAACCCGTAGCCATTTTTTGTTTATAAACTTTTCGTGTACTAAACTGCATGCGCCAGTATTCCTTTAAGGCTACCATACATGGGGCAACATTGTTGCATACAACTTTGTGGTTACTACTTTGATCTTGTTGTCTCAACTTTGATCTTGTTGCCTCAAGTTGAGCAGTGGTCAACTTGAGGCAACAAAGATCAAAGTAACCACAAAGTTTCAAGCAACAATTTTGCCCCGTGTATGATAGCCTTTAGCCTGCCTGCCATCTTGTATGGAAATGACTTTCACTGAATTAATATTCGTTAGAGATTCATGAAATCCACAAAATTTATGGCGGCCCTCATTTCGTGCTGCATGGTTTTATAGCATATAATAAGAGAATCTGCCTGCATGCACAAAACAAATGCGAATGATCAGACTCAGAACACATACAATCTATCTACATATCATGTCTACATGGATGCATCATTTGCAAATGCAATGCACACATCTTTTTATTTGGCAAAATTTTTGTACAAAAAATGACTCAAGGTTTTAACCAGAACTCGCATATTTAGCCAGTTTGACCTTGACTAGACATCAAGCACTGTACAGTGATCTATTTCATCGATCAGTCCCCAACATGGCAAAATTGAGGGGACTGAAATGGGTACCAACATGCACTCACCATAAACTTGTGGAAGGATTAGGCTGCAACAAAAGAGAAAGAGCAGCAAAGAGATAGCAGCAGCAGATTGCGGTACTCCCATCTTCTTTTTCTAGCTCATATGCATATACTATAGATTCAGCCTGGCTCTTTTAACTAGATACAGCCACATTACTGCAAGCACTTCCTTCCTGTCCATAGGCATATTACCCTATATGTATGGCAAACTAAATATTCCAAAAATGATACAGGAGACACAAAAAAATTGGTCGTTACTAAAAATAAAATGCAGAACATGTGGAACTTTACAAAGAATGTGGAACCAGTGACGCGGAACGTACACTGACGTATGCAGAGCGAATGTGTAACATTCTGCAGAGCATAGATACTTTGTGCAGAGCGTCTAGAATGTGGAACAGAACCATGAGACTAATGATCATAAACTAGATAGAATACAAAACATTAAAGGGCTCATCCATCCTTATAGAGTTACTAGCTTCTAGAAAAGCAAAATTATTTACAGCAAATAATGAATAATGGAATTGAGCCTATTATTTTAAAAAAGTATATAGCTATGGCAAAAAGACTATGTAGGAAAGATTCTTAAATGAAGTTGGTTTCATATGCAATACCTTTTTATGCCGCTTCATCAAAATTTTATAAAGAATAGAATTTTGCTATCTAACTCAACTGACTGTGGTATTTATGCCTGCAAGGTAAAAAATTAATACTTCATCACCAAAACATTATTAGTATTCTGAGAATAGTTTGATGTATCAGAGAGCTTGGCAGGTGACTTAATGTCAGTAATTTTTATACAAAAAAAAATTCCCAGCATGTTCATTTCAATATAATGCATATTACTTTAGGTTGACAGCAGAAAAGGTGTGGAAAATTTGTCAACATACCGGTTAGTAGTTTACAAAGTAATTTGTATGATGATTTGAACAAATGCAATGTGAAGAAGGTAAAGTTAAGCATCATAAATAAGCTTAAAACCATTATTCTACCATGCCTAGTTGCAATTGACCAATCAGATTGCCGAATACCAGGTTTCTAAATCTATTAGATACCTCCCGGGAACCATTTGAAGCCTCCTGGGAACACTTAGAAACTTGGTGCTCTACACTTGCGTTTATTAGTCCATTTGTCGAGCTTGGCTGATTTTTTTTACTTGCCTAGCCTGTTAAATATGTTGTATGCATGTCAACTGTGGTTTTATTATAAGCAGCTGGCAGTAGTCTTGCAAATGTCATGAGTAGAAGTTGGTTATAGATCTACACCATGGTACTGGTTTCTATGGCATCTATTAACCTCGCAACTGTGTTGCTCAGTTTATATATACAATAGAAACCTCTACCTCGGTGTATAACCTATACTTATAACAGACTAGCAATTATTGCCCCAGATTTCTCTGCAGTGGAACCTGATATTACAACTTTTTATGTCATGGAAAAAGTTATACATTGATGTTGCAACTAAGTTCTTTAAAGAATCACACCTCCTAACAAGGGATAAACAGAAGTTTAATGAATAATGATTATCAATTGATACAGAATAATTTATTCTTTACTGGTGGTGGATTTTAAGCTCTGAAGTCTTTTACACGCAAATTGTTACTCATCAAAATAGATCTAATTAAAAGGCTCCAATCTAGCTGATTTCATTATCCAAATATATTAAAAGACTGTACACCGGCCATAAATGGCCACTAACTATAGATCTATTATTGTAAGTTCACTGTTAATCATGATCACCTATAATTATTTTTCTTACCATATACATCACAGTTATGTATATGTTGAACAATTGACAGTACTATGCATGTCCTTCAAAACTCTTGAAAAAAGCATTTATACTGTGACCAGAGGCAATGAAACTCTCAAAATAACATTGATAAAAGAAATAATTTAATAGGATGATTAAAGAATTTTCAAAAAGATGCTAGAATATTGTATAAAATTGTTGTAGAGCAAGTCGGGGCTATTCCTTCCCCCTGTATATATTTGAGCATATTTATTGTCATTTTTAGATGAAGGAGACTCAAAGTGGGATGTTAAGTTGAATCCACTACAGTTAAATTATGACAATGAAGGCTGGATAACAGTTTGTTTTGATGGTATAAACCTTGATCTAGCTCATGTTGTATGTCGGCAAAAAGGATTCACTAATATGCTACTACTTTTAAAATAAGTGAATGGTAAGTTGCTTTATTTTTTTTCAAATCTAATGGCACATATCTGCTCTTAGTCCATCAGTGTCTGATCTTGTAATAACTCAAATTTTGTCCATCAACTTCAATTTGCTCGTTATATGGTGAAACCAACATTATTAGATAATAATTGCTGATCCTGTTCCAAATAAACCACCTGCAAAAATACTGTGTAGTGAGTTCTCATAAGAATGAGTCGTAATAAGTTTTTGTGTACATCATGGCCTGCTTTGTTCAAAATTTTACATATAGATCTAGTTAAATTTTTCTGTTGCACCTTAGTGAATCACATTCATAGTATAATAAAATGTTAAAATTATGTTATACTTTGTAAATTCATTTCTAAATTCTTACTGCAGAATGCAGATACTGATACAATAAGGGAAACTAATCCTTACAAAGGTCAGAAATATTATATTTTGATAAGATAGAAAAGAATCACCAGCTGATGGTGTATTTATTGTTGTATTGTTGCTGCTCAAACAGTATTGACTCTTGTATATATAAATAATATATTTTAAAAGAGCTCAAGAACTGTGCACAACAAATATAATAAGAACAGAAAATCCACATATTCCCCATCAATGTAATGAATAATTAATTATAACACTAATAATAATAATAATAATCATGAATAGACTTGATCATAATAAACACATTACATAATACAAGTACATTGCAAATGAATATACACATTATAACATCCCTCCCCCCTTAATAATGCACATAATGGTAAACAGTAATTAGTAGTTTATGGTACCATCATTCCGATTGGGTGGTCATCTTACACGTGTTGACCGACGTGGAGGAGGAGGAGGAGGAAAAGGAGGAGCAGGGGAGGAGGAGGAGGGAAAAGAGGAGGAGTAGAAGGAGAATATGGAGTAGTGAGAAATGTTTCCTTGGAATTTGTTCATTTTTCCTCACCTATTGACCTCTTCCTTATATTATCAACATGCTGACGAATGACTTTCCCATCTGATAATAAGATGTGATAGGACAATGGACCCGTAACTTTACTAACTTCACCCGGGAGCCATTGAGTATTCTTGGCAGAGAAATCTCTCACATATACTGCATCACCTATAGCAAAAAAACGAACCTGTTTCTTTTTCCTTTATACCATAGCCTCCTGGTTTTTCTCTACCTGAATAGATACATCTGGAATCCAGTTGGCAATGTGGTTTCCTATTAAAAAGGAATTCAAATGGTGATGTATTTGTTACAGGATGAGGTGTGATACGATAACGGAATAGAAATTTCTGAATACAATTTTGAATAGAGCTCCACTGTATTTTTACTATACTGTGCTTAAAAGTCTGAACAGCACATTCAACCAGCCCATTTGTTTGGGAGTGATATGGCGCTGAAGTAATGTGCTTTATTCCATTTCCCAGACAAAATTTCTTGAACTTTTCACTGGGAAAGGTTAGACCATTATCACGAACTATTGTACAGGGTAACCCAAGAGTAGCAAAAATATTTTACAGCTTGTCAATCGTGCTGTCAGCAGTAATAGAAGACATTATGAATACATCCATCCATTTAGTACAAGCATCAACTACGACCAAATACATATGTCCTAAAAATGGTCCAGCAAAATCCAAATGTAATCTGGTCCAAGGTTGTGATGGCCAATTCCAAGAATGAGGTGGAGCTGAGGCTGGTTTAGCTTGCACTTTGACATATTTCACAATATTTGACAATATTCTCAATATCAGAATCCATGCCAGGCCGCCACATATGCCCACAAGCTAGACTCTTCATTCTTGATGACCCATCATGAGTGTCATGTAGATAGTCTAGTAACAGTTTAAGAGAGGAAGGAGGAACAATGAAGTGAGATCCCCACAGCAAACACCCATGCATTAAGCTCAATTCTTGAAACCTTCAAATATAAGGCTGTAACTTCTGATCATCTGTATTACGGAATTGTCCCATGCTGACATATCTTTTTACTTGGCCTAAAATCGGATCTTTCTCTGTTTCCCTCTCCATTTGTCCAGCAGTTACAGGGGCTGGTACGAGATAATTTGAGCTGAATTAGTTCTCCAGGGAGATGATCTGAAAATGTTGTGACTGGTCTAGGCAGTCTACTTATTACATCAGCATTAGCTAGTTTATGCCCTGGTTTATATTTAATACTATACTAGCTGATAAGTGCTAAGTGTTAAGGCCCACCTCTGCAATCTTGCAGATGCCATAACAGGTGCTGGTTTGGTCTCATTAAAGAGATATGACAAAGGCTTATGGTCTGAACAAAAATGACAAATTTACGACCATATATATAGTTGTGAATTTTTTTTACATGGCTAATGTTTCTTTATCCAGTTGAGAGTAACGTTTCTCAGCTGGTGTCAGGCTTCTAGAAGCAAAACTAATAGGACACTCTGAGCCATCACTCATTTTATAAGATAATACTGCTCTAATCCCGTAAGGAGAAGCATCACAGGCTAATATGATAGGCTTGCTATCATCAAAATGAATTAGCAATGAGTTTTGTTGAAGTAATTCTTAAGCCTGTTTAAAAGCATTTTGTTGAGCTGTATTCCACTGCCAAGCAGTGTGTTTCTGTAATAGCTTATATAAAAGAGCTAATAATGTGGAGAGATTCAGTAAAAATTTAGCATAATAATTTAGCATACCCAAAAATGCTCTAAGCTCAGTAAGACATGTTGGTGCCTTTGCTTCTTGTATAGCTTGAACTTTGGATGCTGATGGCTTAATACCTTCCTTGGTTATTGTGTAACCTAAGTACTCAACTTCTGGGGCTGAAAAATACACTTCTGTTGCTTCAATTTAAGACCCACTTCACTTAATTTCAATAAAACTACTTCCAAATTTTGTAATTGCTCTTCAATCGTTTCGCCCGTAACTAGTATGTCATCTATGCATACAATGACACCATTACTACCTTGAAATAGGGTATCAATGCACCGCTGAAAAACAGCTAGTGCCAATGTGATCCCAAATGGCACTCTGTTAAACTCGAATAACCCCTTGTGGGTATTCATAGTAACGTATTGTTTTGAACAATCTGATAGCGGTAACTGTAAATAAGCTTGAGCTAAATCAAGCTTTGTAAAAGCCACACCTCCTGCTAATGCAGACAAGAGGTCTTCAATTTTTGGAAGAGGATATGATTCAATGTGAGCTGCTTGGTTAATATTTAATTTGTAATCCCCACATATACGTACTGATCCATCCAGTTTTGTTACCGGAACAATGGGGGCAGCCCAATCTGATGATTTAACAAGGGTAATAATACCGAGACTCTGAAGCTGTTGTAATTCTGTTTCAATTTTACTCTTCAATATGTATGGGACACTCCAATGCTTAAAAAATCTGGGCTTAGTATTAGGTTTCACATGTATCGTAATCTCAATACCCTTATATGTGCCCAATTCTTCTGAGAAAACATGGCAATACTTATGCAACAGCTCTTTCAATTTATCATTTGAACAAATTTGAAAAATTTTCTTCCAATTTAGTTGCAATTCTTGCAACCAGTCCCGCCCTAGTAAATATGGACCAGACCCCATTACAACAATTACTGACAATGTACAATTATTGCCCTCATAATTAACTATAACATGTACTTTACCCAGTATTTCTAACGACTCACCAGAGTACGTCGTCGATTTAACAGAAGTTAGTTCCAGCGGTGGTCGTAGACTGAGTGACTTGAATACGTCCTCTGAAATAATTGACAGCGATACACCCGTATCCAGCTCCATAGCGACTGACCTATTATTAATGTCAAGGTCTACACTGTATGGATTGGTTGCTGATGATGACAATAAAGTAAAAAGGGAGTAGGATGAATCGTCTTCTCTCTTGACATTTTCATCTTCTGACTGACTCAATTTACCACCTGACACGTAGTTCATCTTGCTTGCATTCTTTTGAGTTGGCATACTTTTCTGAGGCTCAGCAGGTTGTTTCGAACTACAGACCTTTGCCAAGTGACCCACTTTACCACAGCTACGACATTTGTACTCTTTGAATTTACACATAGAGGCTAAATGATTTCCACCACATCTCATACAAACTATCTTCTTAAAATGTGGACTATCTTTCTTAGTGGCTGGTTTCTTCCCAGAATGATAATGCACAGGTACGGAAGCCTCCTGCTTATTGGCCAGCACTTTCGAATCATGATCAGCACTCTCAATCGATGTAGCCAACTAGAGCTTTTGCGAAAGTGAGGTCTGTTTCTGACAATAACCTCAGTTGTATAGCATTACAAACACCACGGACTAATCTATCTCATAACATATCATCTAATGTATTCCTATAGTCATAGAATTCAGAAATTTCTCTCAAAGCAGCAACATAATCAGCAATAGACTCATCTTTGCTTTGGTACCTCATATTAAATTTGTACCTCTGAGTAATTTTAGATGGTCTTAGACTGTAATGAGAGGTAAGGACACTGACGATTTGATCATAAGGCTTGTCCTTTGGCATGTCAGGCTTAGTTAGACTCCTCATCATTTGATACGTCTTAGCTCCGCACACACTCAGTAATACTGCCTTTTTCTTTCCGTCATCTAAGTCGTTGGCAGTACAATATAACTCGAACCTCTCCATATGGTCTCCAATCCTCATTGGCAGGGTTGAAGGGTGACGTGACTGTGAATTGCTGTCGCCATCTTAAAAAAAACTTAAATCCTCTCGAATCGTAAAAGAGTAAGGTTTTCCCTCGTCGCCAATATGTTGTATCGTCACTGCTCGAACAGTATTGACTCTTGTATAGATAAATAATATAATTATTTTGAAAGAGCTCAAGAACTGTGCACAACAAATATAATAAGAACAGAAAATCCACACATTCACCATCAATGTAATGAATAATAATTAACTATATAGAAACAATGTAAAACATTCAAGGGCTCAGCCTCATAGATTATCAGCTGGAAAAAAGCACAATCTCAACCTTATGTTGCTGCTAGAAAACTCCTGACTTGTTTTTTACTTTAAACCTTGCTACAATGACTTTAAAATAGCCATATGATATAAAAAGGCTGGCCAGTTTAATCATAACACTAATAATAATAATAATGTGAATGGCTCTTTTTTCTTTCTTTATTATTAGTTTCTTAATACATGTATAGTTTCTTTGCGGTTTTGTTTTTTGCTTTGTTTAGTTTTCCCATAGGGCCTTCCATCTCCTTTCCCTTTTTTGTTCTTCTCTGTTATTAGTTATGCTTTGTTTTTCCTCCATAATGATAATAATAATAATAATAATAATAATAATAATAATAATAATAATAATAATAATAATTTTTTTTCTTTTTTTTTTTTAAGTTTAATATTAATAATAATAATAACAATAATAATAATAATAATCATGATCATGAATACACTTGATCATAATAAACACATTCATAATACATCTACATTG